CTCCTTAACTACCTCCTGTTTGCTCTGTTTCTGGCTGGTAGCATCTCTATTTGGGCTCCCTGATTGTATTGCGAATAATCTTGAAGCTTTGTGTGTGCATTGCAAAATAGCTTGGAAAACAGAGCAAAGTAATGTTTATATTATCTTTAAAAAACGGAAAGCCTACAAGACTTACATACAAAAAATTCTGGTTTTTTAAATGTAATTATATTTTAGGAGGAAATAGTTACCGGATATAAACTGATGCAAGTCTTTTGAGGCCAGTGGTATCAGTTCTCACCATTTAAAAGATCTGGCTTTTTCTCTTGCAAACTCCCTTTAAGAGGAAATATGTCTTTCTGATTTGGATTTGTTGAATTCTATGAGTATAATAATGCATTCTCAGAACTTTAAAATACACAGCTGAAGCAAGCGCATTCTTGTATTACCAGTTAGATCTACTTGGATATCTAGGAATGTAATGACTCCAGCTGCTGACACAGTTGTGCTAACTGTGCATGCAAACAAGAAAGAAGTGCAAATATTTTTATGCATAACTACATGCATGTTTTCGAAAAATCTGGAAATCTAGGAGTTCTATGAAGCACTCAATCTACATCAAATGCGAAAAGTACATTGCAAAACCTTCTCTCTAACATCAGGATATTCCTTCTCTCTCTCTCTCTCTCTCTGTTTGATAACTGTGGAAGACTGGAGGCTGAACAAGGACAGCTACAGTTTTGACTGTGGGAAAAAAAAACAGTAACTGTGACAAAAACAGTATAATTCAAGATGATTCTTAGAAGTTTAAGCCAATGCATGAATCCAACCTCAGTACAGTAATTTGCAATACTTAAAAAGAGTTAATGTGTTTTGTTTTATTTGTTATTTGGTTGAGCAGATGGTAATGGTTTTGACACAATTCAGTTTTTTATTTTTCTTCTTTTCTTTTCTTGAAAAAGACAAGGCTCTTTTTCCCACTTTGTCACAGCTGGTTACCAATCAATCTCAATTCACGGTACAGTGATGATAGCACATGTTGTTCAGGGGCCAAATCTGATTGGGTTGCATTTTCAACAGTGTTTCATATCAAAAAAAATGTGTCTGTATGGCAGTGACTGTCAGCACACTATTGTACAACTGTCATTAATCAAAACTAGCAACAATGAGTGCATTCATATGTGCCAGAGACTGCCAGATTTCACTCAAAATCACCCAATTTCTATTAGAGTTTCCTCACCAGCAATGTTTTCTCATCTGCTTGTTGTTTCTGTTTCTTTCTTCCTTTCCAGTCCCTTTCCCCCTATTCCTTCTCAGTTAATTAAAAGCAGACCTACTCTAACTACTACTTGCAGAACAGAAGTTATGCAATACGATGTCTAAAAGTGGCTGGGTTATAGCTACACGCAGGCTGACTAGTTGTCTAAAAGACATCTCCCAGCTCAGTATGATGGTTGAAGTCTAAGCTAAAATGAAAGGTTAAGAACCTCCAAATGTTTAACAAAAAGAAATATTTAAAATCAATTAGATGCCTATAAACATATGAAACTGATGACGGATGCACTACACTTTGTGCTGAATTTTGGCATTATTTGGCTAGAAGTCAGCAATATTTGAGTAATATTTTGGAAGGTGTTTCTTGATACTGCACATATTTTGAAGGCCGTGCTTTCTCTGTATACGGGCAGATTTAAGGACCAACTTAACCGGTACGCGTTTGTGGTTTTTCACCACTCCATCAGTGATCTAGGAGTCTTGAAACCTCTGTCTGTAATCGGTATTAAGGCAGTCAGAGAGACCCTGAGGCTGATTCCCAAGTGTAAGTGACACTAATCCAGATGTGAGTTAACTTCTCCAGAAACTCAGATGGAAGCACCTTGCTGTGGGATTATGAGGGTCCAGGACTGGGAGAAGACAAGATTCCCTGTTCAAGACTGCACAGGTGGATGTCTGAAAAACAGAAAGGAGGCAAAAATATTCAGGCTTCACACCTTATTACTTCACAGTCCCTTTCTTATACAAGCTCTTTGTACTGCAGTGGATCAGGCTAAAAGCCAGTTTTCTTTCTTCCTCCTTGCTGCCTGCTTCATCTGTCAAAGGTCTTCACTGAACCGTGGTGACTTCTGTGGACAATGTGGGTGGAACAGATGACTGAGGGGCAGCGTATCAATACTTCAGGACAGCAGATGGTTTTGATGTCCCACGAGTCCATCTATGTATGAATCTAATTGCTAGATGGCGTGTCCTGTCCAGGTGGTCCAAAAACCCAGTATGGCCTCGTTGAACAGGCAGACTGGGAGAGCTGGACCTCTCCTTGAAGTAATTGATAACTGGACCCTGATCGTGACATATTTACTCCATCTCCTTTCATGGCCCAAGTGGGAGGTGTGAGTTATGCTCTAGCTCTGCGTCCTGGCATGCCATGCAGCTGGCTTTTTCACAATTTGCATGATTGACAGGTGCAAGCATAAAGCCTGCCGAAGCCTCTGAGGCAGCTGGCTGGCATGCCGGCACCAGCACAGCGGTGAGATGAAGAAGAGCGAGTCAGCTGCAGCCCACAGCAGACTGTAGGGTCCTGTCCCAGGCTGCCTGCACTCCAGTTCAGACAGCCAGACAGTCACATACAGTCCTGCTGCCTGTCTGGTTTCATCTCAGCAGTGGCAAGTGAACCACAGGGATGTTATTGGTCCCTCTCAAAAATAAACAAATAAGAAAGAATAATGATAATAAAGTCAGTGTAACAAAATAAATAGCTCATTGTTGCCCGGCTTCATAAATGCGATTCCTGCTTGCAGCTCATATTTACATTACAGCTGGTCTTAATGTTGCCATCTTACAGGAGCTGCATACAGCATTATATTTGCAGTCCCCTAGGGCTAGCCTTGTGTCAAGAAAATAAGCGTTTTCTCTTGTCTCCAATTGTGTGGTCGCCAGAGACAATAACCGCTCCATCATTGTAGGATGCTGTTGTCATAATCTTGAGATTTTTAGGGGAGTCAAACTGCATTTTCTCTCATATGAAAACAGTGTTTTCTATTTACCATTAATTAGTGCAGCGCAGCATGCAAAATTGCATAATTTAGTGAGGAGTTCAGAAAAAAAGTGCCTGAACTGCATATGGCTTTTGAATATGTAGTTGCAATAGTTCCGCACTGCTCCAGAAACTGAATATTAAGGTTGTCATTTTGCTCCTTAGTACAACTACAATAGCAAAAGAATGGCACTAAAAGTTTCCTATGTATGCCATGACATCCTCTTGTTCTTCCCCTTGGCATATCCCTTATTCATTAGTTAAACCTTAGATAATGCCTATGCATACAACTAAGTGTAACACCTAAAGAAAGAGATAGCCGTGTTTATGTGCTTGTCCTGCACATTTCCGATAGAATGGTTAGCCTTAATTTGGTGGTCGTCTTTAACTTATTTTTGCTAAGGCATAAAATGGTTTTCCAGGATACAGAATGGAGTTGCGCTGTACTGTGATGAATGTGAAAAGATGTCTTGAATTCTGTTTTTCTTGGAACTATTAATAATGCTCTAACTGATGTTCTGAGCTTTACTTGATAAAATAAAACTTTGAACATTTCAACATATAGGATCCTTTGAGTTAAGATGCTTTTAAGTCTGTTAGTACACTGTGCACTTTGTACAAATCTAAAATAAAATACTTAATAGCAATGTATAATAATTATGTACACAGAAATTAACATTTGAAGTTCCTGAAATGTTTTAAAAATATTCATAGATTCAGCCTCACAACGTTCCTCTAACTACTTGCATTGTATTCTTACATACCAACACGTGCCCTTACATATTATTGCCGTATATTTGCTGAACAAGCCTACAAGGTCTATACTGGGTAACAGAGAAAAGGTAAATTAATTGTTTGAAGTTATGTGGTGAGGGTTTGCACTGTTAGAGAGAGTATTCAGGTCTCCTGAGGTCTAGATCTTACTTTAGTCTTCAACACCACGTTCACTGTTTGATGCATGAGAATCTGAAGCTAAATGTAGATTCATGATGAATTATTTCAGATGTCGTAACTTTATTATGTCTAGAAGAAATGTTGAAAATAATTTTACAAGAGAGTATTTCGAGAGTAAAATGTCTGTGCTGAAAACCAGTGCTTTCTGATTCGGGAGCCTAAGAAATTTCATCAAAGCTAAAGTTTCCTGTTGACTTTAATAAGCTTTGAATCAGAGCCTAAAATATTGTGTTAAGCATAACTTTTGCAGGATGATAGCCGTTTAACTGAGAATATTTTCCTAGATTTACGCTCTCTAAATGTCTTGTGAACAAATGTTCACTGCATACTGAAGTACTTTGCGTTATTTTGAATTTCACACATCCTCATAGTTTTAGAGCTATCGCAACAGCAGAAACAAAGAAATGGAGAAACCATAATTGAATTGTTTCCAATTTCTTTCAACAAAGAGAATATATTGTTGTCCACGCTAATGAATCGTTGTATAGTATTTATATGAAATTGATAAATCCTCCTTTTAATGTGCTTCTTCAATAAATGTCACCGTCCAGAGCTTAAATATTATTTTATTGTTTGTAATAGAGTAGTATCAAATCCTACCAACATGCTCGCAGGGTTGCTGCTGGAGAAAATATTATTTTTAAAGGAAAATTTCCAAATCAACCAAAGGTAAAACACATAGCTCACATATAGTAAAGGCGTGATAAACCTGAGCTGCCAAGTGCTGATAACTGATGTCTAATAGCTTAATTTTATCATATTGCTCTAGATCAAGGGCAAAGAGAGTGATATTATTAATAACGCCCGAATACTGAGTGAACATAGCAATACTAATTTTATGTAAAGTTTCTAACTAATGTAGAGTGCAATAAAAATGTCATGAAGATTAATGCTTGGTGGAATTATCTAATGCTAGATAATAATTTATCTTTCAGAGTTGGATCCAAGATCGGTTCAGACTGGAATATGCCAGGTGACAGATTTTGTTCATTTCTGTCGGCTACAGAATGAGTTTTTCTTCTTTTTTGTATCACAGGTATGACATCAAAGATGACTATACTTTGCGCATTAAGAAGGCCATGAGCACAGATGAAGGAACCTACACATGCATTGCTGAGAATCGAGTTGGGAAAGTGGAAGCCTCTGCTACCCTCACTGTCCGAGGTGAGTGTTCCCATGGAGGGAGGGCTTGTGTCTCCCATATGAATCGTCTAACAAAATGGGCCGCATCCTTGCCTGGTGTTGTTTGGGTTGCACACATCCTTTGCAGCTTTAGGTGCTGCACTGATTTACAACAGAGGCAAAATCCTCTGTTGACATCTTAGGCAAAATTTCAGTTAACTTCAGTGGGATAGGACCTCCCTGCAGTTAAAGATCTGTTCCAGTATTTTTTATTGAAGAACAGATACATATATATGCAAGAGAAAGCGCTAGATAACCGTTGGTCCACAGTTTAAGCTGTGAGACATCAGTTCAGGCTATTTGGTCATATTCCATTTTCTGAAAAAAAAAAAAAAGGAGCTTAGTAAGTAGCTATGTTTATTAATGCTAATTGTAATGCAGATCGTATTATTGGGCAATTAGCTCTACCATAATTAAATTCTCTGCCATCACTTTTTTATCTGAAAGATAAACCCAAGCCAAAGAAAAAGAAAATTTTAATTAAATTTTGTGAGTATTGCGAGGTAAAGACTAACATTTTTGCTCCTAAAATGTTCTTGGTCTCTAGTATGCACTCAGTGTTTATATAGCGTTATTTGATGTGCTAAGGAGGTTTTAAGACCTGTAGAATAATGAGTTGCCAACATGTCTTTTGCGACAGTAGATACAGACGTGTTAAAGATCATGGGGAGAGAAAAAGTTTGTGGGCTAATGTTTCCATATGAGTAAATAAAATATAATAGTTATTACTTCATTTCAAAAGATAAGCAGCAATTTGACACAATGGATATCGTGCAGACACTATTTCACAGTTTAGTGGTGCATGCTGACGGTTTTCAGTAGAGCTGTGAAAGGTTAATAAAAACATTTTTAGCTTTATCTGTGCTCCTCTTTTCATGCACATTAAATCAAATGTTCAAAGTCTCAATGGATTGCTTTATTAGAACTGAGGTCAACTGACCCAAGAGGCCAGCTTCCATTTCCATCCATTTAATGCATGGACACAGTTCAGTTTAATTTGCTGAATTCAAAGGGGAAAAAAAAACCACACCAAGTGTCTTTGTAGGGGGGACATGGTAGTATATAGCAAAGAATAGAGAGCATTGTGATAATCTGTCAGCTGAAATACTACCTCAGTGTTCACATTAGATAATAAGAGATAATGCAACTTTACCTGTTGTAAGCGGAAGGAATAGGTTTACCTGCTACATGTTTGCATGGGATATTGTTCTTCCATTTTGCAATATGAGAAAAAATGATCACTGTAGGGAACTCCTAGAAATGCAGTCACTCTGTTCTTTGTCATGGGCAGAATTGTAATATCGAACAAATCTGGCAACCAATTCAGTAGCCTTTAAAAATTCCAAGAACTGGGTCTACTGTATACATTACTGGAACAAGACATTTATTTTTGCTGCCCTAGGCCTGTGATAGGAACAATCACTAGAATCAAGCGAAAAATCTTTTTAAAATGCTTAAGTTTGAACCTGATCACAGTAAGATGAAAAAAAACCACGGAAATACATAATTTAATTGATTTTCCTACAATAAAAGCAGATTTTCATTATATTCGGTATTTTTCCCTCTGGGTTTGTCATTTGCAGTTAAATACATAGCGTTTATTCAGCACAAAGGAAGTCACACTATTACAAGCATATTAAACGTTCAGGATATGACAGAAAATGAGAAAAGCCAAGAAATTCAATGGAAAAGTTCATTACTCCAAATTGTCTTGCAACAAAGGACTGGGCAAACTCCTGTTGACTTTAAAGGGGTCAGGGGCCTTTTAATTATAGAAAGCCTTAATTCTCACTTCTCAAACTTGTACGAATTCTGTCTGAAACAGCACTCTTTTCGTGCAGAGGGACAAAAACAAGTAATAGCACTTCAAGAATTCACTTGGAGGGTGCCTTGGTCCTTGCAGGTGTCCTGTAGTTACATCTGCACAACGTGGCAACAACAATGTAACCCTCAGCTCCCTAGCCCATGGCTCCGTCTTCTCAGACTGAGGGCTGAGGGTGCAGGCAGGGAGTTCACATTGCACTGTCACAAATGATGACAGAATTTGAATTTTGTGACTCAGCCTTCATGCCCTCTCTTGGAAAAATGCACATGGCTCTTATTCCTTCTCTCTCTGTGGAAGAAGGAATGTATGATGCTAGAAGCCACAAAATCCTAAGATACATGATGCGTGAGAAAGGCAGCAAGCTTGAAATTAAGTTAAAGGAAGTGAGCATTGCAGAGTAAGGATGAAGACTAAGCAGGTCCTTGCATGTTATTTTACCTCTGCCTCTGTGTATCTTAACCTAGGCCCTAGTCTGCACATATACATATAAAGCTGGTAAATTGCTTAAAAAAAAAAAAAAAGGAACATTGCTTAAAAGTGAGTAACTCCTTCTGTCGCTAAAATAAGGAGTTTCACCTACCTGGTTCTGTCTCAAGTGAATTTTATGTCCAACTTCTCAGCTCTTCTGAAAGGGGATATTTGTGTTTTATTAGCAGAGGGACTGACAGCCCTGTTCCCCAACTCAAGTATAGTGAAGGGCTCTTGCTGTAATCAAGCAATCGCTTGTTGCAGCAACAGCTTTCAATCTTGATATCAGTCTGAAAAAGAATTAACCTGTCGATCATTCAGCAGCAATTTTTTTAGGAAGTAGAAGTTATCTAAGCAGTAATTTGGGAGGCTCTGAGTTGAAATCCCTGTGGTCATTTCAGCCTATTTGTTGTATTTTCATCAGCCCTGTCAGTGAGGAAAAAGCAATGTGCTGAACGCTTTCACGTCTGTTATTGAATGAGAAAAAACTGTCTTGGGCTTTCTGTAGCCCTTACTGCTGTACTGACCAGCCATGCTTAAAATTCAATTGGTATTTGACTCAGAAAGCAAATGCCTTGCGTCTACTGGCATGACATTTGCCAGTCTGTGGCTTAAATTGATGTTTTCATCAGCATCAAGAAATCTGTGCTAATGCAAAGCAATTTTTCTTCTATTAGGCATTAGCAGTGATACTTGATGAGACATGTGAAGATAATAAAAATGTTTCTCAGAGAGTAGTTCCAGCCAACTTGTTCAGGTACTATGCCTAAATAAATGTAATAATAGTGACACGTGACTAAACAATAACAATAATAGCAGTGAGCGTTTTACTTAGGCTGTCATTTGAGGGTTTAGCAATCATGGTAGTATCCATAGTTGAACGTAACATTACACGTCATGCATTCTGACAGATATTCTTTTCTTTTTTTAATTTCTTTTTTATGTTCTCACTACACCATTGTAATGTCTACAGCTCGCCCCGTTGGTAAGTAACCATCCTTCTATCCATTTTAGCATGGCTTCATGCAGTGCTTCATCTTTCATTTGCAACAGCATTTGACTGGCTTAAACTAGCAGCCAGTGCTTAACAGTGTTAATTTTATAACGCCAGGCAAGTGATTTTGACTTACAAAGTGCTATTTCTAAACTTTGTATTTTCTGCTCTGTCATGTTGTCAAATCACCAACAAATACCAATCAGTAAAACTGGGTGAGCGTGGTGATATTGAGCCAAAATCACTAATTCAGTCCTTTTTTAAAGAGTCTATTTAAGGGCCTGATAAAAAAGCCGTTGAAATCAACAGAGACAGGATTGTATTGACTTCGATGAGCTTCTATCAGGCCCTAAATGATCAGCTCATTATGCTTTTACTGCGTAACAGTAAAAGCACAGGCTTTGCATGTCCCGTCTTTCTTGAAACTTTCAAAGATTTTTTAAATAAAATAGTCCTGAAATTGAAGAAGGGATGGAGTAGATTTCCGTGCTTTTTCAGTAAGTTCATCATTGCAAGGATTGATTTTTGTCCTTGGGTCATCTTAATTCCTGGAGTCCATTTTGGAATGCGCTGTGTAGGATGCACACTATTTTGCATTACAAGTCCAGAGGAAGACAGACTCTGGATTTTGAATTCCCACTGTGAAAATTTAATTCCTTCCTATGCCTTTGAAATTACTTGTAAAAAATTACAAAAAATCTAACTAAGCGTAATGGAAAAATTGCAACTGTCAGTAGCTGAAATTATTTAATTTTTATTCACGGATATTTACTCTGTGCCTATATGGATTTTCTAAATAATTTAACCAGTTGCACTGTTCCTATGATTGTTAAAGTTTGTATTTAGACGCATCTTTTAGAATAATAATATGGTTACTCTAATTCTTTGGATTAGTATGAAAAGTCTGTACTGGTGCTAACAGAGATTATTGGGGGGCTGGTCTTTCTTTATGTAGTCGAAAGTTATGTTAGAGATGTGTTTGACTGAAGTTTATGAGTTTAACTTGTCTCTGTTCTCCACTGCTCAGGGTTTGGAGGAAGAGAGGAGGCTTGGAGGAATAATTTAAAGATAAAATCCAGATTAGGGCTACTGTTTACAGAACTAGGGTGATCCTTTGCTTTTTAGCTTGCTTGAACTAGGGTGTGAAGAGCCAAGCCAACTGCCTCTGCGGTCATGGCATGGTTTATCCACCGCTAGAGAATTACCTATGTAGAGTGGAAAAAATACTATACGCCATTTGGAATTTTGTTAGCAAGCTTTATACTTGAGTCACTGCTATATTTCTTTGGGATTGCACTAGTTCTCATGAAATTAATTCCCAGGAGTTATATCAGTGTCAAACTTGAGTAAATTTGTAACGACAATTGTTCCCTGCTTAAAAATGAATATGGTATGCTTTTAATGTGAATCTTTCATGGTAGAGAGAGATTTTTTTTTCATTCACTTAATTCACTAAAAAGTGCTACAAGAGTACAAGTATTTTATATTTGTAGGTATTTTTTCTCATTGCTCACTCTGAAAAGAAAGACAAGGAAAAATCACAAAGTAGAGGCTGTTTCAGGCTCTGTAAAAGCCACATGAAATAAATGACTGAAAAATTCACAAGAAAATGATAGGCTTTTGCAGTGCTGATGGCGTCTCATTTCAAAACACTGAATCTGTGTTTTAAGACTCTTCAGGCGATTGAGTCATCTAAAGCTTATACAGAAGCTGTTGCTCCTAAGTTACTTATGTCCAGGTACAGGATTCCTTTTTGTGACCATACTGTGGTCAGCTTGAAGTTGACCCTGCCCAAACTATTTTATTTTGTTACAAGTGAACATTTGGTACAAAGAAAATTATTCTTTTTTATGATTTATTGAGAAAAACATACATTAGAATAGTTGGTCTTAAAATAATTATTTTATGGGCATGTGGTCTCTATCAAATTATTTAATTTGGAGATTAGCTTTGTGAATTGTGAAAAGATTGTAAAATAAGTAAATCTAACCCTAAATGTATTTAACCTATAGAACTTCCATATAGATGTCCGTATAGTGATATATAGCAAATGGTTGTATTTGGATCATTCATATCTAATCCTGTACCTGTAGAAAAGGCAATGGTCTCCTTATGACAGTGTATGCCTTTATTGTTTTTTGCTTAAGGAGCTCAAATGAAACTGATTTCTACAGTTCATATCATGTCCACAATGAAGATTTTCAGTCAGCTTTAAGAGTAGGCAAAGCAGGTGGCTACCTATCCTGTTGAAAATTTAAAGCCAGGTAAAGCAAAACATAGTAACTTCCTTCTCCACCACCACTTCCCCAGCAAAGAGCCCAGTCTTCTGTTAATAGTGTTCTGATAAAATCATCATTTGAAAAGAGTAGTGAGTCTGATTTTGAAGCGTTTTTTTATCTAGGAAGTTAACTGGAATACAGAGCAAAAATTACTTCTCCTTATCATAGAAAATAAGGTAAAGCTAACATTACTTAATGTTATTACCCTCTGCTGTCTAAGAGGATGTCGTTTTAATAGGAATGTATTTATATATTTATATATATCTTAAACTGCAGAGAACAGTCTATAGTTTAAAAGTTTGTTATCTGGCTGCTTATATTTTTCATCTCTACCTCCATTTCAAAGTAGACATGTTTTGTCTTTCTTTATTGTGTTTTAAACAAAACCAAACCATTTTCTTTGAATGGTCTTACATTAAAGAATAGAGAAATGTATTCTTAATATTCTAAGATTGCAAATCTTATTGCAAACTGAATCATTTTCATTTTCTATTTAGCTTTTACCTGACTGCTTCAAATATTTATATACTGTTAGGCTTTGACATTTGTGTTTAAATTTCAGCTTGAGTGAAAAATTCAGGAGTGGGATTATTCCTGCCAATGGCCATCTTTGCTACAAGCAGTTATTAGCATATGGTATATACTGCATATACAAAATGAGGTATGGTTCTGCCTGAGGTGGATGGCAGCTGGTGAATTTAACAGCTCTGTACGAGATTACTCATCATGTTTTGATTTGCTGCTAGGAATAAATGTGTTGCCCATTTCTAAAATAGATGTTCTCTTACAAATGAGCTTTTGAAAAGCTTTCCTATAGGAGTTACAACAGATGGGTTAGGAAACTAGATATTTATCCCTATTTAGACTGTTTCTGCTGTTATTTCACTCATCAGATGGATTTTCCAGATGAGCAAGTTAATATTTTCACGCTTTCTCATCCTGCTGTATTTCTTACGGCAGTTGTTCAGATGAATAGCTGTAAAAACTAGCACTAAACTTGGAAGGGGCGCAAAAGTTTCATATAATCTCACCTAAAAGTACCACTGACCAGCTCTTCAAAAGCTGTTGCTAAACAGCTCTGAGATGAAAAACTTTAAGTGAAGTTCAAGAAGATCAGCTGTGTCTGATGCTTGTTACCTTCTTACTGATCCCCTAAAAAGTTATTCAGATGACAGAATACTCAGTTTTCAAATTAATTCCAGCTACATGCAAGTGAAAATACAGTTCTTTTTAGTTAGTTACATTATATTGGGTCAAGTTTGTTTATTGCCATATGCTATGACTCTTCTTCCACAGAAAGAAGCGTTGTGTAGCAAATAGCGGGATATTTTTTAAACCTGGATAGAAATTAACTATTTGGAATTAACTAAAGAGGTAAGAGGACAACCACCGAGGTACAAAAAGCTCAGTTCCCTTCTGTGTTGGACAAGAGACAAACAGATCAGACACCTACTATCTATTTTCCACATTTCATACTGATTAAATCGAGTCAAAACATATTTAAGTGAAATGAAACTATATGATACACTGTACTCTGCTCTGGGAAGTTTTCGTCTCCTAAATCCACCTGGCATGGCTTACTGGTCCGTCAAGAATGGTGCAACACAAAGCATCTAAAACAGAAAGAGTTGTATTAAAAAAATTGTGTTAGTTTTTGTAGCTTGAAATTGCTTTGTTTAGATGATAAGTGAGAAAGCTCTCTCTTTATCCTTCTCCATTTCACTTTCGCTCTTCTTGCAGGAAAACCTTTACAGCGTGAATACTTTTAATTTTTAGTATATTCTTAAAAATATCACCTTCATTTGGGACTTTGAGGACTTACACAACAATATTAGAAATGGTGATTGGTGTGTGGCAGAAGGGATCGTTCTTGGCACTACTGTGCCATCTTTCAAAAGGAGAAATCTCATATCTATATCAAAGTGTGGCATTTTGGCTGTTTGCCTGCTGCTGCCACCTAAAGAGATTTTTGGAAGAGGATAAGGACACCAGCAGACATTAGGCTTTTGGGATTCGTTTCTTTCTTAAGTTAATGAACATACATGCATCCTTTTTGTTTATCAACAGACAAAAGCTTTAGATTAAAGAGAAAAGGTTGCCATGGAATGAACTGCATATTTCTTTGTATACCAGTAACAAATTAAAATCGTTATGGCATTTTTTAGCCTTTTAAAGACCTGTTTGAATATCCTAGATCCTTAGCATTTGTACTTTGGCAAAACTTGCTGAACTTGCGCTTGAATCTGTGTAAGGACTTAAGCCATGATAGTAACAGAGCAGTTATGACATATGGGCCAGAATGGCACTGTGAGATGAGACAGAGCATGTTAACTACCAAACATTAAAGTACTTATCCACAAAACTCTGGCTCCATTTCCAGCAATTCCAAGTCTTTTAGAGTATAGCAAACAGTAGTCAAAACAGAAATACAGAAGTTCTGACAGAGAATTCTTCCTCAGTGATAAGCATGAAAGACGGCAATATATGTTCTTGAAGCTTTGGCAAGTCATACTATTCAGTACTGGCTCATTCCACTACCGGTATCAAGTATGTGCCTGTACTCATCATGCTGTTTGTCTTAGAGACCAGCTACAGCAAGTGCAGAAAGTGATTAAGGACCTCATTTTTGACTGCTGAACTCTAGCATAGAAAAGTTCTGGAAGGTTTAATGTGTAAATCGTTCTTGAGCTTATCTGAATCCATTATTTCTGC